GATCCCACAACTCTACATTACAACTAAGATCATCATCTTTAATTTTTATATAGAATCTTGTCTCATAATTTTTAGCAGGTTTATACTATCTTACAAATACAAGATGATATATTTGTTCACTTGAAAGAAGATAGATAGTGTGATTAAAGTAGAATTGAACCTGACCGGGATATGAATCTGCTAATTTATCTTCTGAAGCAACAAATCTTGCTAGAATTCTTAAAGATTTGATATAGCGAGCTGAGAATATAGATTCAAAAATTTCCAATCCTAATTTTAACCATCCATATTGAATAATAGTAGGAAATACAGGTATCTGATCAATTTCCGATACACTTCCAGGTTTGGTAAATTGATAGCCTATATCTGCCATATTATAGAATTCAACTAAAAGGGTATTGTAACATGATATTTTCTAATTTTGGATCGAGAAATGTACTAGAAAATGATTCATAACCAAAGACTTCTCCCTGGTTGATAATATTTTTTAAATTATAAAATTGAAGAAGATCTTGTGATTCAAATTTATCTGGAATAGCCATGCTACTACCCGATATTTGACTCTTTAGTATTGTAAAAGAATTGGATAGTCTGTCATCATTTCCAGTATGTGATACAATTTTATCCAAACATTTATTTGTGAGAATAATTCTCAAAATTCTGGTTCTATATTCCTATGGCCACTTTATATGAGCCTATAAAATATAAATTATATGTAACGATAAGTATTTTTACATAATATAATACTGTATATAATTACCTGATATTTACCTAAGATTCTATTCATATGCTCAAAGGAAAAATACCAAAATAAATACAATGGACTATAATTCATACAATTTTCACAATAATGCAAACTTAAATGGATATTAGGAGTAATTTTTTCAAGACCATAGTTCTGTTCTATTAACTTTGCTACATTTAATAATCTTTGATGAGCTTCGTTAAGTATCTCTTTATCTAATATTCTACAAACTAATAGATTACATGCCCTAATAAAGTTTGCAAGAATATCCCAGTCTGATTCTGTTAATAAATCCCAAGTAATTGTAATAGCATATATCATTATAAATGTTCGCTATTGGTTTGCAGTATATCCAAAAAATTCTTTTTCTGTAGCAATTTTATACGGAATTCTTCCGATATATATTGGAGGTTGAAATTTTTTTGCTCTTTTATCTATAAGTTTCAAATTATCAGTACTTAATTTTTTACCATCTATCTAAAGTCGCATAACAATCCACTTTGCAATTCCCAAAAATAAACAATACATTGGGTCTACAATTACATGTTTGATTGGGTTAAAATAAGGATGACAGTAGAGTTCTGACCATCTCACCAAGTTTTCAGAAAGGTGTTTCTTTCTTTGATCCTCAGTATTGCACAGTTTCTATGCATATACATCTTTTTTAATTTTCTCAATATCATGCTCTACAAACCAGTCATTTATATCTGAAAATCTACCAAAATTAGGTTGATATCTAGCATCAAACTGTGCATGTTTTTCACATTGAAAACATGCAATTCTTGCTGATATTTGTCTACATAACTTTCTGGCTGCTGGAATATCACATGAGTAGCATATAATAGCGCACTTAATTTTTTTGCCCTTAGGAGATTTATTTGTAAAAATTTCTACCCTATTTTACAATTCAAGCAATTGATCAACCAAAGGTGCAAGATAATGATTAAGATGATGTAATTTAACTTTCTTGGGTTCCGGTAATAATGCTAAGGTAATTATATTTTGAGGTTTGAATTTAAGTTTACAGGGCAAATTACCGATAACAGCATATATTGCACCAGTAAAATATACAGAATTTTTGAAGAGACTAAACCAGTCCAGATTAATCATAAGGCCAAGATGTGTATCAGCATGTTCTAATGTAAAGAAATCTTCATCTTGATTTTTAAAATTCTTCCATATATTACCATCATAAATATCACAAGATAATTATCATTTATATTTCTATTAACCCATTTTCTATATGATTTCTCAAATCTATTTTGGCTATATAATAATGTAAGCTGATCTTTAATATTTATTGTTGGATAAGTAAGCAAAGGACGAAACAATATTCTATCCTTTGTAGGCACCTCTTTTGCCAATTGTTGATTACAAGGTTGTCTCATTTTAGACATTATGTAATTAGGATATTCTACAAAAGTACAATATAAACATATCAGGATTTGTCCAGGCTTTTTTGTTGTTATCTTACTAGGTTCATACAACTTATTACATGCCGAACAAGTTGCATAATTATTTATGTGTAGACCTAAACTCATTAACTTTCTGGCTAAATAGAGTAACTTAGTAAAGTTTTTAAACTGATCCTGATCAAGATCTGTCAATAGAAAATGAATAAATCTAACTAATGATTCTGTTGCTGTATCAAATAACCGATATCATTGTTGATATCTTAGGATCTAGATTAATATCCAACCAAAGCTATTGTCAAGATTATCAATATGTTCAAATTCTTCTTCATCTCTATTTTCAATAATGGGAGCAAAATAATCCATTATAGTTTTCTCATCATCACTTTCAGGCTTTATTTCTGCAACTTTATCATCATCATCAGAGATATTTAAAGTCTTAATAACTATAGAAATATTGGGTTTTTCTCTAATTTAGCTTTCGCTTTTTTCTGTCATTTTTAGTTACAAAAAACGATTCTTCTTGAAGAAATGATTCTTCGTGAAGACTAAGATCAATTAAAGTAGAGGAAGGAATATTAGTTTGAGATGTACTACTGCCTTCTGTTTGAGGATCTGTAGAAGAAGAGAAATCATCTCCAGGTTCAGTGAACCTACTAATTCTTCATACATTTCATATTTTGCAATATGGGTATCTCTTGTTCGAGAATCGCAGAGTTCTTTTTCACCTTTGCATACTTTACATATGCAAATAACCTTTTTTTGAGTTTTTACTGCAGGTAATTTAATAAATATTTGATGACTCATTTTTAAAGTATTTTAAAGTTAGATGTTAGATATCAGAAGGCAAGGCAGACAATAAGCCTTTAAATACAAAATTTTGTAATATATTTTATTATTTGCTATATTACTATAATTTTTTTATAGTGATTAAGCCCAAAACTGTAACAACAAGGATAGATACAAAGATATCTCATTAAAAAATTTAATAAATTCCCTTTTACATCTCGCATTTTTTAACTACAAGTCAATAGACGTTATTTAAAAATTTCCTTTAACAACACATTCTTAAAAGTTTCTTGCAACATTTTTAAACTATTAGTACAATTTAAAAATGGAAACTTATAGAATGTTTGTTTACTACACATAAACCGGAATAGGAGTATTAGTAATTAGTCTATCAAGAATAAACTAAAAAGGAAATAGTATTAAATTGCAATACAACTTTCCAAGATAAGCATAAACTTATTGTACAATGCCAATCTAACAAAATGAGTAACAAAATACTTATAACTAAACTGATATGTATGTACATACTGGTATATGTGAAATAGCAAAAATAATTAAAGGGTACAATTTTCAGAGATCACTGGCAATATGCCGATATTTATTTCGAATATTAACTAAAAAGATTTAAAATTAGTTTTAAAATGCAATGAATATAGCTAATATAATTACAGCTAGGTTTATTAAGAATAATAGTATTCTAATTGATTAATAGATTTTTAATATCTATTTTCACAGAGAACCGGGAAAATTATAATACTAATAATAGATAAAATTAGTTAGCCTATCTTATAACTGATATTGATATCTAATATATAATATAACTATTAGAATGCTAATTTGTAATAAGATTTTGATTGACGAAAGTTGAGTATCCTGATATCTATATTAGCATTATTAATTCCAGATCAATACCAATACATATCTAATAAATTATTATAAAATAAATATACTAGACCCAGTCTATTTAAATCCCAATATCAATAGCAGTATTACGTTAATGCTTCAATTTAAAACCCCATAAAATATATGATGCCCCAACACTTCTGGGTTTTAATTTATAATTTACTGGACCCAATTTATTTGATTTGTGTTCAGTATATTATAAATTTAAACCGAGAAGTTTGTTTTCTTCTATATATGTGTATTTATGCACTTTGTTTTAATGTGTTATATTTTTTTCAACGTCTATATAAGAGAAGGTTGTAATACTTGTATAATACATTTTTTTCCACTTCTCTACTTTTTTACGAAAGTAATAAATAAATAAATAAATAAAAAAATAGTTCGCTTTATTTTTTCTTATAAATAAAAAAACTTACTATATCATTTTAAATATAGTCGATAATATTATTACCACTGAAATATTATTTAACATGAGTTACTCAAGCCTTTCTACTTCTTCTTTGCCTTTCTGAAATGTAGAAAGAAAAGAAAAATCATCTGATAATAGTAATAACTTGTTAGATTACATATCGGGTATAAATTTGTAGCACATATGTATATCAAGTATAACTCTACACATAATCATGCTTATTGTCTACATAAGCCTTTTTTTTTGTTGCTTTGACTTTTTTTTTTTTTTTTATAGCTGATGAAATAAAAGCAATATGAAATAAAATAAAAAAACTGGGAAATAAAATTGATAGTTTAATCAAAAAATCTTCTAGAAAAAGGGCCCGTTCAGTTACGCCCGATAGCAATAGTGACAACAATAGCAGCACCAATAACAACAGCAACAACAACAGCAGCAACAACAGCAGCAACAACAGCGACAATAACAGCAACTACAAAAGAAGAGGTAGAAAAACCAGAAAAGCCTCTAAAAAAAGATGTTGGGAACTTTCTCCGCAGACAAAAAAGTCGCTAAGAGTATGGAATCAAGTATTTGTATTTATTTAGTTTATAACAAATATCGGGTTACTTTCAATTCTCAACAGCAAATAAAATATCAGATATTTTCATATATTTTGCTTTATTGAATTTATCATCTATATAGATATCAGGAGTTTATATATTTTGATTTATTGTTCTTCGCTTATATAGATATCAGGAGATTTCATGTATTTATTTATTTATTTTAAATTTATTATAATAGAATGACATTATAATTTCCATCCAAAAACTTGAGAAGTCAATACAACCAGATCCGAAAAAACTTTGGATGGACTTTAAAGCAGAGTTCATTCAGAACTCATTTAAAATAATAAAAAGAGATGTCTAAAGGTACCACGCAAATAACAATCAAATATTAAAAATAATCAAGGAGGGCCACAGGCACTAGAGAAAAAAGTATTTAATGCAGAAAGATCCAGAAAAAGACAAGCAGGATCGTGAAAAAAACAGAAAAAATCAAAGAATGATCACAGTAAGAATTTTTTTCTTTGTATTAATGTACTGCCTATATGACTATCGGTACAATCTTAAATATATTTTTTAGAAAATAAACAGAAGGAAAAAGAGGTTTGCCCACCTGCAGCAAACAAGTAGTAGATAGCTAGCAAACCTTCTTTATACTGATATTTCAGAGCGACAGGCTCTGAACGATATTAAAAAAATAATCGGAAAAGTGGATACTATAGTGAAAAAGTATCCAAACAGATGATGAACTTGTCAAAGAAGAAAGAAAGCGAGAGATTCAACATCAACTCGATGATGACTGATACAACCATGTTGTGAAGATTATAAAGAAGGAATGGCAATCGAAAAAAGTAATTATTATAATAATCTATATCTATATAGATATCAGTACTAATATACTTTATATACTTTTTAGTTAAAACAGATTTTGTTGCTATGCAAAGATACTTCATAGCACAAAATCACAATAAACCAAAAAAAAACAGTAGGAAAGTGATAAAATCAAAGATAATTTCACACCACAAGCTGGGGCTCCCAGTTGATGTGTTTCATGTAACTACGATCCTGCTGCTTCTCTCGGTCCTCTCAGTTTAAGTTTTTCCGGTGCTGGTGGCTCCAATATATATTTTGGGTCTGGTGCTAGTAGCTCTGATACATATTCTGGGTCTGGTGCTGCTGCCCCTGATACATATTCTGGGTCTGGTGCTGCTCTTTCTGAAATATATTCTTGGACTGGTACCTCTGATGCATGTTCTGAATCTGGTGCTGCTTCTTCTGATGCATATTCTGAGTCTTTTGCTGTTGCCTCCAATACATATTCTGGGTCTGATGCTGTTGCCCTGATACTAATACTACCCATGATACTAACCGCTTTGTTGCTACTATACTAACCGCTTTGCTGTCCCCAATACTAACTGTTCTGCTGCTCTCAATACTAACTGCTTTGCTGCCCCCACAAAAAATTGAACTGAAGCCCCAAAAATAATCATTCTGCTACTCCCGAAACAATTCGTGATAAAAGTTTCCCAAGCATCTATTCTACTAACATATCTGGTACAATTTTTAATATTTATAATACAAATTATTTAAGGTTTTTACTAAAATTTTTGTACTGTTTTATTCATAATCTTTGAAGAGGTCACTAACATCAATACTAATGATGATGCTATTGTAACAACGAACAAAAATAAAGACAAAACCGTTAGTAATTATGAATCAGATAATGCATTTGTTAATTTTATATGACTTGCTGTATTTCTAATATATATGCAATTAATTTGTTATATATTAATAATTATTTTATAATTTAGAAGATCATAATATTCTGAAACCACGTTATAGCAGAGGTGGTTCTAGTCAAAAAGTACCTAGAAGTTTTAGGCATAGTACTAGAAAATAATTTTTTTTAATATATTTAATTTTTATTATGTATTTATTAGTAATTATATATATATAATATTTGTAAAAAAATAAATATATTAAATAATAAAAAATTAATATGTTACTTTTTAATTATATATCAGGAATAAATAAAAATAAAATATCTATGTAATATTACAAACATTACTATTTATTTTAATTATATCAATATTTGTCTTTAATATCATCTAGTAAAAATTAGATTTACAAAAGAGTAGATATCAGGATATTAAATGAATCTCTTTAGTTTACTCTATTTGTCTTTATATGTACTTTTTTTCACCTTTTATTTTGATATAACCTGCAACAAAACAGATAAATATCAGGATATTAAGAGAAACCCTTTAGTTAACTGATATTTGTTTTTGCATATACCATTATTTACCTTTTATGTTACTATAGTCACTAATATTAGTAGCAAAATGGATACATAATTTTTATATAAATATCAATATCAGGATAATAAAAGATACCTGTTATTTAGCCAATATTCATTTTTTATGCTCCCGATATTTATCTTTTATACTGCTATAGATCTGCCAAATACGTATAGCAACCAGGTATATAATTATCAAATAAAGATCAATATTAGGATATTAATAGATACTCTTTATTTATCTAATATTTATCTTTTTTTGTACTAGTATTTATCCTTTATATTACTATAGATCTGCCAAATAACTGTAACAAACCAGGTTAAGTGAAAATACATAAAAAATAAATATCAGGAGATAAGTAGGTACCCTTTATTTAGCTGATAGTTATTTGGATTTACTGATATTTATCTTTTATATTTCCAA